TAGATATATAGTTACATTCTCTTAATGAATAGAGGGATTTGTTCTAATAGTGTTTGTAAATAGGATATCATGTCCTCATCTTGTACAGCAATTAACCACTAGGAAGAATGTATGCAATGTGTTAATTATTGAAACTGGCCTACCAATTTGGTTTGAAACTGTCTCGCTATTTGTTTCTCAATAAAATTATGAATAAATAAATAAATAAAAATTGCACATATTTATAGAGTTAATATGTGTTTCCCAAAATTAAAAATAGCCCCTGGTGCCAGGCATGGTAGCATATGCCTGTGATCGCAGCACTCAGGAGGCAGAGGCAGGAGGACACGGGAGTTCAAGGCCAGCCTGGCCACACACAAGGCCCTGTTAGCTAACAGATAATTACTACCTTTGCTGGCTCGAATGCTGAGGCCACTTCTGCACTGGTTCCTTCCTATTTCATCAGTGTTGCCAGGAGCCTGGGGTCAGGCGTTGCAGGGCCACGGAGCTCCTCAGCTGCCCCTGCCCGTGAGCTGGCCCCTACCCGCTGCTCAGCTTTCCTGACACTGACATTCTGGGAAAATTCGGTCTTTCCTGGGTACTCATGCCTCTGCACAGCTCAGCTGGGCGGGGTGGCCGGGCCCCTTGGCACCTGTGAGGCAGAGCGGTGGCTCTTGAGGTGAGGACTGGCAGGCTGACGGTAGAGCGTTCTGCACTGAGCCTGGCTTCCGTATTTAAAATAAAAGCTACAGCCCGCCTCATTCGCAAGAGCCTTGGAGCAGCTTGTTATGAGGAAGTGCAAGCATAAGGAACGAGGCAAAGACTAGCAAAGAAGGGCGGTGAAGGAAGCTGCGGCAGGTGGGGCGCTGGGACAGAATGCCTGCCCCATGCTGCTGCACGCCTGGAAAGGCGAGCCTTGGCTTCTGCTCTGAGCTCCCTGGCAGCCTCTGCAAAGAGGGAGGCATGCACAGCTAAAGATCCACAGTGCTTGCGGCCAGACCAGAAGGCTCCGAGGCTTGCTTCAGCATGTGCTGCCAGCGCCCCCGGGGCCACCACCCACCCCAGCGTGGCCTGTCCATTTCAGTGCTAGAGTCTCTGTTTGCCCCTCAGAGTGCCATATTTTTTCACGTACTC